GAACCACTGTGACTAAAGCAGAGCTGAGTCTGAAGATCAAACTCTCGAGGTTCAAGTCGATCTTTATCCCCATTCTTACATACGGTATTACACGTGAAATATGACTGGAAAGCTTCGTTCCCGCTTTCAACGTCTGAAATGGGTTTTCTGAGACGAACTGGGTCTTGACAAGTCCGGATTACAGAAATCTGAGAGAATCCCTTGGTGTATAGTCACTACTTTTTTAAATTGAGAAGTTACAGTTGCGATGCTATGGGCATGTGTTGCGAATGTATCCAGAAAAAAGGCAAAGCAACTACCATCTGTCCAGCCGGCCGGCAAAAGACTCAGTGGATAACCAAGATTAACCTGGTGTATGTGTATTGAAAGAGTTTACTCTAGACCTTTTGCCAAATCTCAGATGCTGGCATAGGATTGGGTACGTTTGAAGTACTGTCTGACACTTCTGCCTTCGCGACCCGAAAGGAGAAGCGGCCATGGAAATTTAACTGAATTGAATTGACGGATACTGTCCTCATGAAAATTTGCGGTGTAATTTTTCTACAATCTAACACCTGCATGGTTCCAATTTCAGTCATAAAAAATTTCACCTGGTCTGGGATTGCAAATGAGCAACAAAATTTGGGAACGTTAGGCAACCGTGGTATCAGATCATCAAGTTTGAATTTAAACTCAAACCACGAGACGAAAGGAAGTCGCACTGCCCATCGGCATAAGCACAAAAGAAGAACTAGCTACCTTGAGTACCGACGCTTTCCTGTGACTTAGTCGAGTAGTTAGATAACATGTCTTGTGTCCTGTTGTTTGCCGTCGTTACGCTCACATCAGAGTCGATAGATGAATCACACTGCTTTCGATTTTTTTTAGCCAATGGCTTGCCGCCACCGGCACAGCCGCGACATGGCTGCTGGTTCTTTGGTTTCGGAGGAGGATGAGATGGAGGATGCACAGTGTTCATCAGATGAGGCGAAGGCGATGATTCGTCAACGCTCTAAACGAAGCAAGTCAAATTACGAACATAGCTGCGCAACTGACAACTGCTACTACGACACAAAAAAATAGACTAATAATTTACTTTGTATGGTTGTTCATTACCCTTATTTCTAATTATAAGGTGAAAATATTACGATTTATCGACTGTTAGTCTTCATAAGGTCAATGCCATCTAAATAAGCATCTTGAACAACCATCGAAAGTTTCGATTTATGTTTGCGTTCACGACAGAAAAATTTCGAGGTACTTTATACTATTATACGCTTTCAAATAAATAAATAATGATTAGAAGCAGCATGGAGACTTGAAAAGCGGATCGCGTTCTTTACTAATCAACAGAATTTAATCGATAAACAACTGGAAGCACACTGAGCTGATCTAATATTATAACCAACCTCAGAACTAGTACCGTGCCATAATTATTTTAACCTGCCTTCTGATCGTATCAGTGTTAGCGAGAAAAACATTCACTTGAAAAAATCAAGTACAATTTAACGTACACTTCCTAGTCAGGCGAAAAGTGTGTACCAACCATGAATCTAAATACATTACTGTAATCGGACATAGATAATTGGTAGCTGAAAGGCTGCCCAAAGTTTAAAATCAAGCCTGTCTAAGAGAAAGACACTGTAACTATAAGTGTAAATTACAGTTTGCTTATAACTACATAAACAAAAACACTGGTTGCTTATATTTATCCTAGATGGAGATGTGATGAAATCACTTGATGTCACGGTTTATTTTTGGACCAGATTTACTCAGTCTGTCAAACTCAGAGCTGAGTGTTCCTGGATTTGAGGAGCTCTAAACAGCTTTAAATGAAATGAGGAATGGCACAAACGTACTTTCTTTTTGTCACTCTGCGGTAAAGTAGTCCTGAGTTGATTCTCGTTTCCTTCTTTGCTTGCCTTTCTTGACGCGGATTTCGTGTTGTGAAAGTCTGCGCGGTCATCTGAATGATTCACATGACCGCAAGAATGGAGCAAACTGGCCTCATCTGGCGATCCTTCCCACTGTCCAAAAATATCACACACCGTGTCTTTTGGCGACTGAAATATACAATAGTATTCGACGATAAGCAGGACAGACAAAAATATAATAAGCATTATCATACATCAGAGCTATTATGCAGAGAGTACAAGTTCGATGGTAAAAGAATTGTCTCAACCTTGGTAAACTTCTGTCCATCGCTGCAAATGATGCTCGTTCGCTGTTTGCAGATTATGTCCTAAATCAATAAGAAGCAAATTATAAACAGCAAACATTACTTCTGTTAATACATGCTAATTAATCGATGACTTTTGATGCAATGTTTTCAGCACATACTTAAGGCTGATGAAGTACACGAGTAACTTTCAAGAGCATAGCAACGATTTCTTTTTGGAGAAGCAAAAGCTGAGACGCAACAATTAAAGCACAGATTTAGTAGGCAGCGAGACAGTGGCGTAATTGCCAATCTTTGGAAATACCAAACGAAGTGATGAAATCATAACAAATTCTGGTTCCATATGCTAAGATGAGAAGCGATACGTTGATCAAAAGTATTACCCGATATCTGCCGTGATATCACCGATATCAGTAATACACTGCCATCAAGCGTGGTAAGTTCATCGTATGATTATATCTAATACAGTATAGCCAGTATGGATTCAGGAGCTGAGGGTAACTAAATCGCATTCCATACAAAACTACAAAGTCTAGAAAACCAAACCCAGACTTTCCCTGCATCCAAATGATCTCTTTAAAGACTGGAAGAAATGGCAACGGGGCGGACGTAGCTAAGATTTGTTGAACTAGATTTGATAGACACAATTCTGGCAATTTTGCAAGGAACCACAGCTAAACCTAGGCAAAGGCGATCGAAGATTAGAGAGCAGACGTGAGTACCCGATCGCAAAAAAAATTTGTATGAAGACAGCGGAAATACTTTAGGATATCGGTGTTCCTGAACTAAACAATTGAGCACCGAACATCAGGAGTAATGATCAATAGCAAAGGTGATATGACTAGCATGTTTATTCGTCACACGTGTCGTGTTCCATAGTCAAAATAATAACACTTTTAGCGATTTTCCGAATGCAAAGTTAGTTGTCATTTTTAAATTACGTTTCTAAACAGCATCTCACGTTATTCTAATCATTTACAGACTACGGATTTAAATTCAGGATTTCTTCAGGATAAGTTTGTTCCTGCCCTGTTTAAAACTTAGCAGACGTTGTCAGAAATTCCACGAACGAAAGAAATGGTAATCGTGTTGCTGTAAAAAATTAATCGAACTAAGAGTTATTCTCTGTAAAAGGAAAGTTTGTAACAGCTGAAATGCCGATGTTCCTCACATTTTCACGATGGCATCATTTCTGGCGCCCATCTTCGCATTAAGATAAAAACTTTATAATTTAACTTCAATAAAGTTAAATGATGGGAGCTGAATTCATTTCCATGCCATCAATCACGAACGTCTTATTTTAAAAGCAAAGTTGACAGAATCTATGTGGTCAGCATAGAATGTAGTCCCCTGCTTCCTTCACTCATCGATAAATCTCAGAAGGAAGAAAGGCGAGTGATCCGATCGGGGCTCGAACCCGCGATCTGTTGGTGTTGAATTCGACGCTCTAACGATTAAGCAACCCCAGTTCAATTATGTTAACAATAAAGTAGAAAGGAACTACAGAGCAGATGCTTAAATTACTTAGCAAGAAAGTGTACCATCAGTAGAACATCTTCGCATCATCTTTAACTGGATGAATTATGAAAAGTCATCAGGAATACTGACCTGCAGATGAAAAGTGTAACCCGTCACTGCTGCACTTAAGTAAGATGTAAAGAAACAATATAGATACCGGCCACGGATACAGTCGTATTGGAGGGCAATATGAAACGTGGAAACACCTCTGCTTGCGAAGAGGAACATGGCTTATGCAACAGCACTAACGCTGCCTAATATGAATCAGAACTAACATTTCCAACAGTTAGACATCATAAATCCTGGTCACTCCGCTGTTTAAGTTTTGTGAACTTCAGATGAAAATTACAAAACAATATAGAAATAGCAACTAGTGCTGAGATTTACACCTTAGACCGATAACGATAAACAAAGTACTCAAAAATTTTTAATTTGTTATTCTATTTTCTATTACGTCTGACATTTCGTTTTATTCACAGTAGCGCCATTACTGTAAGGTTGAAACGTTAGTAAACTAATGTTGATTTGTCAAGCATAATGGAACTTTTGCAACACATCTTCATCAATTTGTTATATCAAGGTGCAGAAACAAGATAAATGATCGTTACTGTTTCTACATGCTATCAATTTAAAGTGTACGAAAACGAATCATAAAACAGTGCGACTTCGACATTTAAACGTGGCATACAACTAGCTTGCCAATGACCGGCGCGCTCCCGTCGTCAACATTTAATTCTTCAAAGCCCAATCCCTAGTTCAAATCGTCAAGGGAAGATAAGATAATACGATAGCATGAGGCTTAAATATTGCAGTATGTATATTTTTTCAGCTCTACGGTAGCTGTAACTGGCATCCACAAACATTAAAACGGTTGCCTAGTAAAGCTTGTCAGTACGTTTTTCTGTCAGCCTGAGATGAATTCTGTGGTTAACCAGCATAACAGTGTAAAAACGGATCATTCGACAATGAATCATGCATACAATCAATTCGTGAATCTAGAAGCAATACGGTTAGCATAATTCCGGTCATTCTTTTGGAGCAGAAAAGCAAACGGTCAAAACTGAGTATTTGTTTTCTAAAAACACCAGTGTTTGATGTTTTAAGTTGCCAATGTTCATCAATGAGTAAAAGGATTAGAAAAAATATAAATTTCTTTTAAACTGCAGAAAAACATTCGAAACCAACTTCACTCTAAACTGTTCTGGAAAGGTTTTGAAGTGCTTATATGGCTAACGTAGTTGTACTACCGAGTGCTACTCATCTGCATGGTCAAATCCATTATCCGGCAACCGCTATCTACGCTGCAAAATCCAAGCTATCGCCTGAAGATAAGGAAAACCATAAGAAGGTCAGCACAGCTTCTGCATATTCTGCAAGAACAAGAACAACCACTTGGAAGCTGTTTGAACAGGTCAAATTGCTAAAAATGCTTCTTTGGCGTCAACATTTCCATCTAGGGCGTGATTTTTACCATTCAGTAATTGTATCTGTCCACTTGATCATTACAGTTTTCGTGACAAGCCTCGAACTGACATCTATTGAATTTGGAAGAACTGCCTGCTGATCGATACTCCAGGAATATTGGATCACGGTCAGTATTTCACCACTTTCAGGAATTGTGCAGGTCATGCAGTTAACGTATAGACAGCAGGTATCTAATGAGTGAAAATTACTTACTGACTTTTACACCAGTTATGACTCCCTCCACAAAACTCCTAAAATAAGGAGTAAAGACTACAACGAGCGCACGGAGTAATCAGCTAATCCGGTACTAAATTATCGATGCGGAAGGTGAAAAGTGATCCCGCTGCACAAAGATAAGCTTGTCAGAATAGGGCTGCATGCTATTCTCAGTAAATGGTAGATGGGTGAGAATTGCAGCGTGTCAATAGCTCCACTGAACCTTCTAACTGAACTCTCTTCTTCCGCGGTCCAAGAAGATAGTGCGATCCAATGAACGTAGAGGCCAGGTCATAGTTTTCTGGCGCTACGGCCCCAATGCCGACCTAGCGCCTTTGTTACAATTATTCGATTGGCGAAAAACTGCCAGCAGTTCGTAGTAGAGTAGCGTGTACAAAGATTCACGTAACAACTTCACTTTTTTCCAGAATTTACCATGCTATCCAGTTTTTCTTCAGTGGCCGCGCTGTCAACAGAACCGTAATCAGATTCATCACTTCTAAAAATGAACACAGTATTAAACGTGTCATAGAACCAACGCGAGAAACTTCGTACTCATATTCTGAAGAGTTAGACGATGTTTCCATGCCGTCAAAGCTTTGAAGATTGTCAGACAGGTCAATCGTCTAAATGACAAAAGTGAACATACAAATTAAATAGGCAAATAATAAAATATCAAAATTTTCAAATACAACGTACGTCCTCTTCGCTGATCAAGCCGCATGTGATCAAGTGCGAAATCGTACACTCGTCACAGCCGCAGTGACGCTGCTTACAGCGCGTACAGTCAATGCTGGTGGAAGCCGAATGCTCGGCCGCACGCCTATTACCCAATAGGAGACACCGCAGCGAATTCGAAAAAGAACTGAATTCTGCCTGTTCCCCGGGCCTGAAACACTATAGCTTAAAACAACTGAATGCACAGCAAAGTAATTCAACTCTGTCTGACCAAAAATCCTTCATTTAAAACCCAACGTCCATTCAACAGTCATGGACTTTACAGAATAACAGCAATTTCATTTACGATACCATATATTTCATTCTTAATACACAAAAAAAAGTTCATGCGCTACTAGGTATAGTAGAAACAAACAGAGCATGCCGACTTCTTAAACAGAATAAAACATTACGTGTTTGACAGTGGTATATGTGAGAATTCATTCAGACGAAAAACAACAAGAACGCAAAAGTCCAGGCAACATTATCACACGTCAAACTGCTATGAAAAAAGTTAGACTCTCTATGATAGTCTTCTATAATACACGATCGGTTCGCCTATCAGAAAGTCATTTTTCGATAGGGAATAGTGGGAATGATATAAAAAGAATATCAAAAACCAAAACTTTTACGAAGAATTAATATGGAAGGTAGCCCCTAACATTCCCATTCGGATGAGCGATTAACGCTTCCGCCTAAATGCAACTGTATCTAAACGTATCAGGAAATTCTGTCGAATGTTTACAAATTCGCCAAAGTTTTTGCAGCGGCTCTGGAGTACATCATTACACTACACTGCGTTGAGTCACGTGATCACGTACTTGCAAATCGTTCCACGACCGATCCATATTATGATGACCAGGAGTCATCATTATAACAATCATGGAATAATCAAAGCAATACACGATACCAACATATTTCAAACTTAGACAAATAACGTGCAACTTAGTGATAATTACTAACAAGTATTACGGTTCAGCCATAAAACAGCACTGAATGGATTACGTAGGTTTTTTGTTTGTAAATCTTCCCCTGTATTTGACTTACAGTGATTACCTCTATACCTTCTACTTCCGAATTATGCTCTTAAATTCTACGGGATGAAGTGGTTGTTAAAGAGGCACTATTCTGCTACGACAGAACCTCTCTCATTCGTTCAGTTGAGGCACGCCTTATGTTCCAGTATACTGTTTTCGAGGCTCTTTCTGTCTTACTGATAGAGCTGTCTATACTGGTTCCGATGCCTAACTGGAGAAGTTACAACTCTGAGGGATAGGGAGCGTCCTTCTTTTGGCATCTCTTCAGGAATATCTTCTCATGCTTTCTTTGCCAAAATCAAATGACATGCATTGGTTTCAGAATATTAAAACATTATCCTCCACTATCTCCATTTTAGGTACAGTCGCATAGGTTGTGAATTCCAGCCATTCAACAGAATCCGTTTTTCAAATAGCTTACAATGGCAGAAGTCATGAAAAAGTGATAAGGATGAATATTAAAAATGAACCATGCGTAATTCGCTCCCATTTTAAGACACAAAGTAACAGTTACAATGAATATGTTCCAAATAAGATCCGTTCATACAGCCCTAATTTCAAATGTCAGGGGTAGAATCCGACAATTCAAAGGTTGTGCACGCAAAAGAATTGAAAAATATAGTAAAACTAACGCTACAGGTAGCAACGATACCTTTTCGTAGCTCACCACGGTAAACAATGAGCGCAAACAGGAAGGTAGCGTCACGTGACGCCGCGCAGTTTAAACTGAACAAGAAATTATTAAACTACAGAAAGAATTACAACAAACAAAATCGATCAATAAGTAAAATACTTGTTCTGTCTTAGAGAATGCGCCAGTTTAATAATCTGGACCACTTGTGCCAACTGCGGGAAGCGGGCAATTCCTAAAGCGAATATAAGGCGTCGAGAATCAGGGGTCGACAAAACTCTTTACGACTTTCAATTTCTAATACTGGATTCAATCGGCGTAAACGCAGAGCCTCTAAGCTTCGATCTAGGGGAGGGTGCATTTAAGTAGGGCATAACTCCATGGAATTTGAGTGCGTCGGAGTGCCACATACATCTAGCATCGTTTTATCCATTGGCCTACTCACGCTGAACATATACATCAGAATATGCTGATACGCCTGCGTGTGGTTAGTTTCAGATATGTAAGATGATGAGAAATGCGCTGAACAAAGGTGCCAACGAAATGCAAGGTTCAAGCGAATACTCTCATTGGTGAAAGCGGAAAATGTACATCATCTCAACTCATTGAAGTCCCTGAATTCGTCATCAACGAAATCCTAGACTTGTTTAAATTACCTTATATCAATGTTAATCATAGTACAAAACGCTTCATACAATTTATACATGCTGGACAGAGTGCCAACACCCTTTAAAAATCAGTACTGCTGTTAATTTATGGCTGTTTTTGTGATATATGGAAGTCTAAACAGCAAACTATAATCACCTACGATTAATCATTCAGTGGATCGCCCGGATCAGTAACTTCGATGAAGAAGAGCTGGATGAATAAAATGCAGTCCAGGCTGTCAAATCGGATTCGTTGGTCGCTGTTAGATAACCCAATTCACCGCTGCACGTAAAGATCATAAAGACTTGTGCTCAGTATGCTGGCAGAAGAAACAGCTACAGAGCACTGCCGGTTCCAACGGAACCATAAAAAACCGAAACATTACAGTAAGATTTCAGGGTTTTGATTCTGAGTCCTCAGCTATACAGATAGGAGGATCAACGATTCATGGTGTTCAGCCATTTGAGCAGTCCTGATGATACTAGTGTATGCAACGAAACGCGTTGGCAATAATTTTTATCATCAGCTGTGTCTGATGCCCTGAACCAGAAATCGCTCAACCGCCTACCTGCATAAAACTTCAACTATGTCATTTCTGTGGAAAGTAATGCGAGACACAGGAGGCGAATTAAACATTATTTTCAGATATTTATGCTAAAGAATATAAGAACATTGATTAATCAATTACATCTGAAAGCTGAAATATATATACTTTAAACTTTTTTATACAGTTAAATGCATTTCCAAACTATATTTCCAAATAACAGTGAATTCAGTGAATTTTTCATATGCTGAGAGTAAGGTGAGTTGCATCAACAACGACTTTGAATGACGTAGAGCAATAAAACAATACGCGGCAAATGGAAAGTATAACGCTGATTCAGTTTTCTTGTTCTTCCAGTGTTCGTAGTGATAGCCACCTTGAACCGTTTACATGAGCAGTATTTAGTTAGTGGTTCCCGATGCATTCTCAGCGTTTCAACACGCCTACTACAAGGCATCAGTAACAGCACTGTAGGAGCAGCTCCTCTCTGAACGTAAATCGGTCTCTACTTTATGATTATTATACTGACATTAATTAAGATTTTAACAATGTTTAACTGTTTATTCATTGTTTAGATATGGTATGATTTTTATACTGTACTGCAACTATAGTAGCCGCTCTACAGTGTAAAAGTTACATAGCACTTCAACTGTTAGCATGGTTAAATTGGAAGCAACTGTCATAACTGGCAAAATTGATTTTATTTTTATGAACGTATAGTATACTAACATATCGGAAAAAGACCGCAGTGATTTTTTTTTCAGAAATGGGATCTACTCAAAACCTTAACACTGACATTAACGCTCATTTTCGATTAACGAATTTTCCGCGCGTGAACAATCTTCACAGAATGAATTATGTCCTTAAATAATGGATAGATGCTATACATAAAAACTTCAGACATAAACACGCCAAAATTAAGCCGGGTCCACTGGCCACGTATTGGAGCGCTACAAGTGCTCAACGCAAACACAATAAGGTCTTGGCAATGGTTGAGTAACTTAGCTTATAAATGGTACGCATATATAGCATGGTATGTTAAATATGATTATATCCAAAAAATTTGACAAAGAAAATGTCATATAAACATGCAAAACAGTTTTAAAACCTTTGATAATGCAAACGCTAACCTATCTATTGATATGCTGTATGCCAAGGAATGTCAAAAATTACTTCAATTATATTTCAGAATTAAAAACCTATGCAAGCATTCATTACCATAACATCTGCAATGAACAACAGATTATTTAACCAACAGATGCAGATTTTAATTAAAATATTTAAATGCCATCTTTGCATCGTGAATAACGGTGAGTAGGCAACCGCTAAGCAATTCACGTAAGACTTACATTATTTTATGTTGTTTTTTCTTCGAAATGTACCTTTCTAGCAGTTTTCTTTGCTTCTTAAAAAAAG